ACACTAATTGAGCCGCTTTCGAGGTCAAATGATAATTACAATGTGAAATTTGAAGTGAGGGAAGTGGGCAAGTAATATGTGATGAGAGAGACAGGAAAGAGGTTTGAGCAAGGTTTTTAAAACCGGACCGGACCGGCCGGTTGAACCGGTCGGACCGGTACCCGGTCATGAAAACGGTTCGGTTCATATAAGAAAACCGTTTTAGGTCAAAACCGGTCAAAACCGGTCAAAAACCGGTAAAACCGGTAAAAATCGGTCAAAAACCGGTAAAACCGATAAAAACCGGTAGAACCGGTGGAACCAGAAAAATCACCGGTTCAATTTCTCATGCAATCTTCTTTCAATTTTTTCCAATTTCACCCTTCCCATTCCTTTCTTATACCTATTTTAACCTTTAACTTTAACAAAATTACAAAATTATCAACACCAAATAAAAAAATCAATGCCTATAGTTTGCTCCTCTCATCAAACCTTCCTTATTGTTTGGACCGGCCGGTTCACCGGTTCAACCGGTTGAACCGGTCAAACCGGGAACCGGACCTGAAAACGGTTCAATGACCGGTCCGGTTTTGAAAACATTGGGTTTGAGAGAAAGGAAAAAAAGAGTGAGTGATGAGAGAGATGGGATGGAGTTGGAACTCAAAATTTTTATATTTAGATTTAGATTGCTTCATTCATTATGATAAGATATATAGAGGAGATTTCCTCCAAACTAAAAATTAATTTGGCAAGATATACTAATAACTTATTTGATTGTAAGGAAAGAGAGAAAAAATTATTATAATTAATTAAATTATTTTGTTGACTTAAAAATTTAATTGTATTGGTCAAAATAAGGCAACTTTTCCTTTTTTTTTCCTCCTGCTTTTCCTTTTGACTCTCTCAAATCAAGCACCCTATAAAAGTTATTATTTATCCAATTAAGGTATACCAACCACCTAAATAATTTAATGGTTATTTTTTTCGTTAAAAATAAAAAATCATGAATTCAAATAGCATGACATGCGGACGTGATAGGATAAAAAATAAAAAATGATTATCTCTTTTTATGCAACAAATATGACAACCTTTGTGCAACAAAGATCCCAAAAAAAAAAAAAAACTAAGGGTGCAAGCTTGTAAGTTCCATAAGGGAAAAAAAAAAAAAAA